AAGGAGTGCTGTTGGTTTTCTTGTGGGGTATTCTATTAAGAACATAATTAGCAGACAATATTGCTTCCCCCCACAAGTTCTGTGGTAAACCTGAACTTAGTAACATGGCATTCATCATTTCTTTGAGGGTTCTATTATTCCTTTCAGCAATTCCATTTTGCTGTGGAGAATAAGGGGCTGTAGTTTGGTGAATAATGCCATGTTGTGCACAAAATTCATTTAATGGTGCATCATATTCACCACCCCTATCACTTCTAATATAAATCAATGAAGTTTAAAACAAATTCAAGAAAAACCAAAATAATTATGACTACTCAAGTCAGAATTAATGTTTTGACAAAATCAGATCCTCATAAAAAATTTTGCCTAAGAATCAAACAATTCAAAAACCCATTTGATTGTATACATTCTTGCAACTCAATAACAAATAAATGTCACTGTCATAAAAATATTTGTGACAGAAGAAAATTAAATTATCTCAACTAATGCAAGAGATACACCCCCATATTAATAAAATGGTTCATGGTTTAACAAATTCTACTACGCAAGTAAAATAATTATTAATGACATCTCATGTCACATAATTCAATAATCAACATAAAAGATTTCTTAAATTACTTCCCAATTAAACGGACCAATATAATTACATACATCTTCATGTTTAAATTTCTCTGGTGTTTAAACACCCATTCAAAATTGGTTTAATAAAATGGTTCAAATTAACCTGCTTATGTCCAAAGTTGACATAACAATTATCATTCCAAATCACTTGAAATTATTGTTAAGAAATAACTTGAGTTGATATCATACATGCATATCAAACGCATCAACTAAAAATAATGAATTAACAAAATAAATTAATCATGCACGATTCCATCGCTTGCATCATGAAATAAAAGGATTCTCAACTCATAAATAAAACTCAACGCATTTAAACTTTAAATTTCGAAATGACAAAACAAACCTTCATTTAATAAGTTTGATTTGTACATAAATAAACAAATTAAAAATATGCAATAAAATGTTCTTGTGAATATATATATATATATATATATATTTTCCGACTCAAGTGCAGAAACAATTCAAGACTATGAATCCACATTGTAATAAAAATAAAATTAGTTTGTAAAACTAATATTTTACTCTAGAAACAAATTCTTCCATATATACTCACGATGAACTAAGATAAAGTCAAAATAATTAACACATTTTCACAAAGGGTTCAAAAATAAGTGGTCTACCAAACGAAACCATAAGTTACTTACAAAATTAACAGATTGTGACCGAGTCACAAAGTTACATGATTGATTAAGAAATTAATTTTTTAGTTACTAAAACCAGAAAATAAATTACAATACAAAATAATTTTATTTTCCTTATTACTAAAACTAGTAAAATAAACTACCGAAATAATATCTGATTACAAAAATCAGAAAACCAAACCACAAATTAATTTTCTAGTTACTTAAACCAGAAAATAAATTATAACACAAAATCATTTTATTTTTCTTGTTACTAAAACTAGAAAATAAAATACCACAAAACTATCTGATTACAAAAATCAGAACAAACACAAAATAATTTTCTAGTTACCAAAACCAGAAAATAAATTAAAACACAAATTAATTTTCTAGTTACTAAAACCAGAAAATAAATTACAATACAAAATAATTTTATTACTATCTGTCAAATAGCATAAATCACTATTTGTTTTTCCAACCAGAATATTAATTTGAAAACACAGAAAATTAAATACAATGAAGATACCAAAAAGGAATCTGTCTTAAGATTGTTGGACAATCTTCACTGTATTTAAATAGATTAAATTCTGTCGTGTTCAAAACAACAACAAGAATATAAAGAAATAAAGAAAAAGAGAGAATTTGTTTAATTACAAAAATCAAACTCGAAATAAAAATAAATAAATAAAAACAGATTTTATTTTGTTACAAAAACAAAATTTAAATATGATTAAATAAACATAATAAAAAACATAATAAAATTAAACAACTTACTTGGTTAATTTATTTGAATAACTTTTCTGATCAAGTCCAGTGTTTAACACTGTATCCTTAAGACAGATTCGTCCTCTCCACGGTGCTTTCAAAATTTGGACGTCTATCTCCCAGGATGAAATGATCTTACCACAAACAATAGCAGCAGTGCTTTCAGAATTTGGACGTCTATCTCCCAGGATGAAATGATCTTACTACAAACAATAGCTGCACTACAAATTGTTTGCCTTACGAACACACTAAGTGTTTACACTCTTTCTTTCAGAAATAAAATGCAACAAAATGAAGAATAGAATAAGCAGAGGTGAAATACGAAATTTCTGAATCAATAACATCAAATGAGGGTGGTCCTATTTATAGATGTAAAGGTGGCTCTTGGTTTTAAATTGAACAGGTATGATACCTGTTGGTTTTGAATTCAAACAGATTTGAATCTGTTAATAATTCAAACAGATAGCAAAAAACAGGAAGGGCCCTGTTTGGGTGTGCACTAATTCCAAACTAGTTTATTTCTGTTTGAAAACGGGACGGGCCCTGTTTGGATGTACAGAAAATCCAAATCAGTTCAATTTGAATTTTGGATTTTATTTTACCAAAAATAAAATTAAATTCAAATGTTTTTGGCCCAAAAAGATTAGAAGCCCAACCACACACCTATAGCGACCCGGGTCTTGTCCCATTTGATTATTGTATCCGGACTTAGGTTCCATAGATTCTGTCATTGTATAATTGTTGTTGTTGTCCCTTATTTTCTCATTTGGACTTATAGGATGTGTTGGGCAGGTTTGTTCAGGTTGGTTGGGTTTAGAAACCAAGAGTTGTGGTCCAGAATTTTCTCTTCGCTCGAGCGAGCAGTTCTTCGCTCGAGCGAGCTCTTTGTTTTGGTCCGTCGCTCGAGCCAGGGTTTCTTCGATCGAGCGAGGACTGCGTTATGTAGTTAGACTTGAGAGCAGAGGTTTTTGGCTCGAGCGAGCTTTTCTTCGCTCGAGCGAGTTAGTTCGTTCTTCGCTCGAGCGATAGTTCCTTCGCTCGAGCGTGTGTCTGGTTACAGACCTGAGGGTTTGAGTTCTTCACTTGAGCGAGATTTCTTCGCTAGAGCGAGCTTTTGGGTTGTTGGCTCGAGCGTAGATTTTCTGTGTCTACACACACATATATTGTCATCCCCACGCACAGATCAGATCACACATACACACACACACAGACAGATCTAACACAGACAGATCTGAGCGACGCCGTCGGTGGTGACAGAGATCGAGATTGAGAGTGGCTGGCGGTGGCTGTGGGTTCGGTGGTGGTGGCAGAGAGACAGACGTTGTGCAGCGGTGGTGGTGATGTCGCCGTCGGTGAGGGAGAGGGGGAGTTGGGGCCAGCGGTGGTGCTGACGTTGCCGTCGGTGACCGCGAGAGAGAGAGTTGACAGCGAGATGAACGAGAGAGTGGGAGAGAGTTGAGATGAGAGTGGAGGAGAGAGAGATGAACGAGAGAGTTGAGTTGAGATGAGAGTGAGGGAGAGAGTTGGTTTATTATTATATATATAAATATATAAATATAAGGGGTATAAAAGTAATTTCACTTCGAGGAAATTCGGGGATGGGGCCGGGGACGGGGGCGGGGCCGGGGATCAAACACTGATCACCGTCCCCGACCCGTGACAGATCGGGGATTGATTTTCAAATACCATCACCTCCCCGTCGGGGGTATTTTTCGGGGAAAAACCGCTTAAATCGGGGTCGGGATCGGGGATCCCCGTCGGGCCGGTTTCAAATTGCCATCCCTACTTGGGGCACACCCTAAGTATCTCACCCAAGCCTTATAAACCCTTTCAAAACTTCCCACCAAATCAATGTGGGACAAGCCAATTTACAACCTTAAGGAATTTTCATCAAAATTCCATTTCCATGGAGCACACTTTGGCTTCAATTTCCCATTCACTCGATAATGGTTTTGAGCAACCAAATATACCACGTGAAGTTTTGAGCAACCAAATATACTACGTGAATCACAACGCGGCATAGAACGCGTTACCACTTTGACCCGAGTAAATCGACACTCGAGGCCCACCTAAAAAAAAAGACCAAACTTGAGAAAAAATTTTGGTTTTACCTCGAATTTTTCTACCATTTCCAACACTATTTACTAGTATGGGGTCCAATTAAAGTCGATACAAAATTCTGTATCATATATGATGAGAAAAAGAAATAAAATAAAGAACCCATTGCACATGTTGAAAAACAATTGATCGATTAGATTGAATCTCACTACCTGTTAGCGAGGGGTCCAATTAAAGCTGAGACAAAATTTTGTATGATATATGATGAAAAATAATAGAAAAAACAAAATAAAATAAAATAAAATAAAGGAAAAGAACCCATGGTATATGCTGAAGAACAATTGATACACTTAAATACGAAAAACAATTTACATGCTAAATAATCTCACTGAAATTTTTGAAATTAAATGATTAAATGATAAAAAATACAAAATTTAAGGGTCATAAATAACATAAAATAATAAAAACACAAAAATCGACTTTACAGTAGGTGGCATCTTTCCGAGGAATTGTGAAAGAAGCAAAGAAAAAAAAAAAAAAAAAAAAAAAAAAAAAAAAAAAAAAGTTCTCGAGTAAATTATAAAAAAATTCAGGTTGGATTTTAAATTTTATTAATTTAAGTTTTAATACTTTGATGTTTTTATTAGTTCATTTCTATTAAGTGAAACAAATAAAAAAAATAATATTTTAATTATTAAACTCAATATAAATATACATAAAATGTCTAAAATATCATTTATTATTAATTTTAATGACTAAAATATTTTTTATTAGTTTTACTTAACTAAAAATTGATGGAAAGTTGAAATTAAAAATTTATGATTTAAATGGATAAAATTAAAATTAAGAATTAATTTTGCTAAATGGTGAAATCCTGATTTTTTTTTTTCGTGGGTTGTAAAATTTTCATAAATTTAATATTAAAAAAAAGAGAAAGAATTGGACTTCATAACGAAACAGAGAAGACCCCCTGTGCCTCAGGGTTTAGGGTTTTACGTTCTGGTGATCGGCTCCGCAAATCAATCCCCCAGAAGCCTCTTGCCGCCATTGCAATCCCTTCTCCGAGCAACCGCCAAGCTGCAACGATTAGGTATGGAGCTCTCTCTCTCTCTCTCCATCTTCATTCTATCCCACTCGAATAAACATATACTGTATATATGTATGTCAGTGATTGATGCACTGTTTATTTGTTCTTTAGTCAATAGCATCAGATGGAAGATAAAGCAGATAGTGAATTTGAGAGGGAAGAACTTCCAAAGTTTGTAGCTAAAGTGTCACATGAAGCTAAACTCAAAGAACTATTGCGGAATTTAACTTCTATTGAAATTAAGTTATGTTCGGATGCTTCAAAGGAGTTTAAGAAGTTACTTAGAGGTGATGATGGGGGCGAATTGCTCCGTGAATATGTAAAAACTTCGAGTAAGTGCTCGGAGCTTCTACAAGCTTGGAAGATTCGACAAGGGAAACCTGGGTTGTCGTATGTATTCTCATTAATTTCAGCAATTTTGAGTCATCCTTGTGGGTTGTATAAAGCAAATGATACGGTGGGTTTTGCTATTAGTAGGGCTCTTGATAAGTTTGCTAAGTTGATCATTGATGAAAAGTTGGGTGATGTTTACAAGGAATTGAATAGTAAAGAAGCGAAGCGTCAGAATGCTGCGCTCTTGTTGTTGGGTTCTATTGTTAGACGTGGTTCGGGTTTGGCTTCTGATGTTGCTAATAACTTTGATTTCAAACTCCCGATATTCACTAAGCTTGCAGAGTCTAAAAATAAGAAATTTGAGATGAAAAGGAAGCATTTCACAAGACAATCATTTGTTGGGTTTGCAATGTCATTTCTGGAAGTGGGGAAGTCAACGATGTTGAGATGGGTCTTACAGCAGAAGGAAATGTATTATGCTATCTTTCGTGGGCTTGGGAATGATGAAGATGACACTGTTGTTTATGTTCTGTCCACTTTGCGTGATAAGGTTCTCATTCCAGGGTCATTGGTAACTCCAAGTCTTCGCAGTGTTCTCTTTGGGAGCGTTACTCTTGAACAGATAGCCAGCATTTCTGGGAGGGAGGACGGTGGGGTTGCTGCAGAGCTAGCACACAGTGTTCTAGTCATTGTTTGTACTGACCCTTCTAATGGACTGATGCCAGATTTGAAGAGACGCCCTTATCCGCTAAGAGGGAATCTGAAGCGACTCTTGGATCTTATGAAGAAGCTAAAAGCAACAGAGACTGACTACCACAGAGACCTGCTTTTGGAAATCGTTAAGGGGAGGCCATTGTTTGGTTCAGCATACTTGGATGAGTTCCCTTACAATCTTGAAGATCATGCATCACCGACCTGGTTAGAATTCTTGCTTACTGTACTTGTAGACTGTCCTATTTTTGTAGACTTATATTTTATTGTTTGGTGAATGATTTACATGCAGGTTTGCTGCTATTTCTCTGGCGGCGAACTTGATTTCCTCAGTGAGCAGTGGCTTGCCTTTTGATTTCCTTAATTCTCAGCGTGATGACCCACCATCCTTGAACAATCCAGATGTGCAGTGTGTTATAAAATGCATAGGTCCTCGTCCATTCACCCGATTGGTAGTAAATAAAGGGCTACTTCACACGGATTCTCTTGTGAAACATGGAACTTTAAGGCTTGTCTTGGAGGCACTGAAGCTGTTAGACTCTTTCATCAGCACTATAGAAAGTAATTCATGTTCCAGCAACCAAATGATACGTAGGTGGGTGTCTCTCAAACAAGATATTCAGAATGAAGTCCGGATTTTGCTCCCTGATCCCCAAGTTCTATTGTCTTTACTTTCGTCTCTGAGTACCCACTACAAGAGTCTCGAGTCATGCTTGAAGAGAACAGCAGATTCAGAAATAACGCCTGAACAAGGTGTTAAAGTTGTGAAGAAATTGAAAACTGGTACTGCTGATGAAGACATGGATATTCTTGTAAGTGGGGTTTGTTCTTCGCCTGACATTGCCTTGCCCGGGGACATTGAGATGGTACAGGGTATACTTGATGTGGATGAATTGAACAATGGGGATGATTATGTGAAGGTTATTGGAGATATTTGGGGTTTGCACCAGTGTTCCATGCGTGGTATGGCTGTAAAGGAAGAAGAAACAGTCTTTTACTCTAAGTTGCTTGACACCCTCAAATTTTATCATGTAAGTTAAGAAAGTTTTTGGTATTTTTTTCCTGAATATTATTGAAATATTGTTGTTTTAATCTAATTCAAAATGCATGCCGTTGAATAAAGAGAAGTCTTTCTGGATGATGTTATTGTGTTGTGCTAAACCCTTTTACCTATAAAGTATGTGGTTTATAGAACTATAAAGAAAGAATAAATTACTAAAAGAATATAATACAACTACGTATTGATATTGCAAAGATAGAAAAAATTTATGGATATTTGTATCATAGAATGGGAATTTTGTATGATTTTTTTTATTGAAGTGTTAGTAAAGATAGTAATGCATTAATTAGAGTTCAAGTGTTGTAAATAAAATGTATATTTGATGTACTTGTAGTATGCATAATACGGTGAATATGCACTGCAGAATACGTAAATAATGCTATCTTTAAAATATTATAATTGATGATATTAACATTAACCAAATCAGAAACATAATTATAGATGCAAACAAAGGTTAAACACAAGTAAGTTCAAATACATATATGACAAAGTACGAGTACATTAACAATATAATACAACTACACTATTTTCAATACTACCTGGAACGTATATTCTACTTGAGTAGACTATAAAACCTATTCCTTGCATGAACTTTTGGTGTTAGGAGTGTTTTAACATCCCTTGTCTTTGCAAACTTGTGTGCAAGGCCCTAGATGTTTTCCTCATCAGTGAGCCCTCATCAGGATAGCCATTGTCAGTTTTTTAACCTTCACAATTTATTTCATGGTTATTTGGCCAATTAGATTTCCTTGTGGAGTCCTTTTATTTCTTGTATGCTTGGCAAATCTAGCCGGATTAACTGTATGGACGGGCTTATATCCTTTTGTGAGCTTACAGTTCTTCACATTGTTGTTTACACTTCAACCTAGTTATTTGGCCAATCTTGGTGCATGGACCTGGCCTTCGTGATTTTGCTTTTTGGATGTTGAGTTTCATGAGGGGCTAGCCGTTGGTTACTGTAGTCTTGCTGCACTAAATGCCCATCTCAATTATCTTTGAATATCAATAGTAGCTTAAACATGGACTTCAATTATTCTCGTTGCATGTTATATATTATCTGTAAACCATATTCTCTGTTGGTAGCTCACTTTTGTTACTGTTATCATCTCATGTAGCGGACAATGCCTGCAGTGCTAGAAGGATCATTTGATTTCTTCAAAATTCTTCCCAGCAATCCTTTGGCATTACCAGCTATACTTCAGCAGTCTCTATTTTCGCTGCTCATAGAATATATTGGGTGTTCTGCTGAGTGCAAGGTTCCTGTTAGGACTCCACCATTGATGTACAAGCATCTGCAACAATTCATTAACTTGCTGATTTATTCACCAATTAGAGGCATAAAGGATCAAGCACATATTCTAGCACAGGCAGCCATGTTAAGTACTGGTGCATTTGACAAAAACCCAAGGGAAATTGGTGTCTGGCTCTTATTTCTGCCTGGCACTAGTATGGACAACTTTTTTATCGGAGACCAAGGAATTGACGTGTTCCAAAACTTGTTTTCAGCTGTTGTTTGTTTTTTATGCGATGCTGTTTCCACAACCGGAAATAACTTATTCAAATATTGGGATCTTTTAAGGCGTCATACGTACCATTTGAAAGGTTTTGAAGGTAATCACTAATCAATCTTTCATTGGATTTTTGTTTTTGACTTTTTCATGATTTTAGCTGTTGGTATTTTTTTTTGATAAGTAAAGCAAATTATATTGAAGGGTAAATTACACTTTCCACCCAGTGCCTTACACCCAATCCCACTTCATTATGTCATTTTTCAATTGCAACAGTCAATCACTTAAATTTATAGTCAAGTTGTTATGTGACCCTTCCATAAATCTGATGTTAAATTGGCTAACAAAATGGTATGTGGCCCTCATGTATGGCACTTTTGAGACAAAAATATGTAATTTTAAGAAGCTAAATCTGATATTCAACCACAAAGAGTCCCTTCTCCAATGCCCCTATACCATGAAGCAAGTTCAGAAGATTAGTCAGCTGATCCAATTCCCTTATACCCATAAAATGACTTTGCATCAAACCTTCTTTTCTAGGTATGACTTTGCTCTTGTTTGCGGTTAAATCGCTTTATTTTATTTTATTTTATTTTTTGTTCCTAATGTGGATATTATGTTTCTGGCAGATGCATCTCCCGATTTCAGCCCTCTTGTCATTTGTGTCCTAGAGAAGTGTCTAAGAGTGCTCACTTCTGAATCTGGAACTTTCACCTTACCTGAGAAATCAATGATATCATTATATGTTGCTAGCACCATAAAATATCTCTTGCAAACGCAGGTAACATTTTGTGTTTCTGGTCTTTATTGTATACTCTCCATGCATGACAATTAAAAATTCAACTTTTATAGGTAGAAGCTGGATTGCTGTCTTCGCTGATTGATCTATTATTATCCAAGGAGGTTGTGGATCGTTTCTCTTTCGTTGATAATGCTCAGGATTTGTGCGAGTGGAGGCCGTTGATGAACTTCTTGTTCTTTTCACGGAGCATTGAAAATCGGCAAACTTGTAGCATTTCTTCCATCGAAAGGAAAGTGGTACATGCTGACAGTTCTTTTGTCAATATATTAGGTGACATTAAAAGAGTTGTGAGGAGTGGGAGTGACAGTGGATTGGTTGGAATAACTAAAGCATTTATGCTTTCAATGATATCAACACCACCTGATTTGATTATACAAAATTTCCCGTCAGTCATATCTATTTCACAGAATCTATTTGGAGTTCCTCTCTCACTCTTGATTTCTATATTTTTTCTTGAACCAAATCTTCTTCGTGATGTTTCTAAGTTGTGCCCTGAAATGTTCTTTACTGGTTTGGAAAGGGTTGTAGCTATGATTCATGATGAAGTAAGAAATGAAGAAATAATTGGTGACAAAGATATTGATTCAATGAGATCTGCTTCTGTTGCATTTTGTTTCTTTTTGAAACAGGCACCATTTCATGTGCTATTTCCGGCCACTATAAGCATTGATGGCCCATATTTATTAGAGGGTTCAAAACTACAAGACTTGATTCTGGCTAAACTCTCTGAATGTGTAACTGATAACTTCATTTCCTCTGTCCTTCTTGTGCTATTTTGGTTCCATCAGATACAGTTATCGTATAGAATTAAGCCACTGGTTCTATTGGAACAGCTTTCCGAAACATGCTGTTTTCTCATTGAGCAGATATTGGCACCTGATTCTGGTCTAGCGATTTTTCAGGCTCCTTTGTCGACTCAATGTATTCTTGAAGTGGCTGAAGTTATTCTTTGTCATCCTGTAGTGATGTTGTCTGTAGAATGCCCTTTGGTGATTAACGAGGAATTTACAGAAGGAATCTTTGGGGGGAGTTTGGAGAAGTTTCTTGGTTTGGCCAGGCAGGGAATTCACAAAATGGATTATCATGTCTTGAGTTTGTTGACAGCAATTTCTGAACATGTACTTACTTTTTGCAATGGTCAGAGGTCTCTTGTTGAAGTTGACTATGCAAATAAACGTTTTGTAAAGGCTTTCACAGCACTGGTAAAGAAGCTAATTCTGAAATTCAAAGACCGGTTTGATCAGTGCATAAAAACTGAAGATTTGAAGCCCCTTACCCCTACATTGTACACTCTACACACTTTGATTCGCTTCATATCCCCTCTTGAGCTGCTTGAACTAGTGCTTTGGATGTTTTCTAGGATTGACCATAGTGAATATGCACTTCAGGTATCATCTAAAAGTTCTGCTCTCTCAGTTGGATTATGGATTGCTGATTGTGCTTTTGATATGCTATCAGCTTATTTGCAGCAGCCATATACTAAAGGAATATCATACAATATGTTTTGGGGAATGGAGGAAAAGAATTTTGATGTTCTTCTGTTTGAGAATATTTATTTTGAAGTTATTGAAATTGCCATGTGTTTTGAGCTAGATGCTGCAGATCTATGTTTGTTGAAAGCTGTTAATGTTGCAAACATACATAAAGTAATGCAAAACCAGCACATTCCTCTAAGTATGGATATATCGAGGGTGATAGTAAACACTCCGATAAAAGTACTTTCTTGCTGCATCCACAATACTAACATGACTAGAGCTAACATATTGTTTCATCTCACTGAAGTGAGCCCCTTCCATCTTTTAGTCTTTGGAAACTTGTTTTCAGATATGATGAATAAATATTTGCTTCGCAAGGGCAATGTGATTAAAGGAACATCTAACAATACTCTTTCAGATGATGACTTTGTGATGCTTCTGCCTACTGCCTGGTTGTACTTACAGTCATCTTCCATGAAATATGCGGAGCAGTTTCAGATATGTGTTGGAAATATATCTTCTTTCTATAGCAAGATTCTCTTGAGCAGTTTCTCAGACTGGAAGAGCTATGTTTCTGGGGACATATTTAAGCTAGAATGTACTGAGTTCTTGTCTCCATCTATGGAGGAACTTCTTAATCTTGTCTCTGACAGTCTCTTGGGAAAAGCAATTCTTATGCTTCGGTACTACTTTTCCTTGAACAGAGATGCTGTGAAATTGAAAAAGCGGTTGAAGTTATTTGATTCTGTTTGTCCACATTCTGGTGCACATGACACTATCCTAGATTGTGATGTCAGTGAGATTGATGCTTATTCACTTAACCAGTCTTTAAACCTTGTAAATAGAGTTGTTGCAAAGATATACTTTTGTAGGATGCTTTTATTTCCAAAGGATAATCAGATTCAGTCTCTGCCGGGGGAAGATGGGAATATGAAGGAGATTCATTCAGAAGTGAGATCTAATAAAGAGGACTTGTCAAGAATTCGGTTTATGAACATATTGGTGTGGACTTGGCAGTTGATTGTCAAGAAATTCCCCTCAAAGTCTGAGAACTCTGGAAAAGTCATTGGCACAAACTATTTCTTGTTCATGTTTTTGGAGGCCTTCATTCTAAGAAATATTCTGGAGTTAACTAGAGAGATGCATAATTATCTTATCAAATTGAATTCTCTTCCATTCATAGAACAATTGGCGAGATTGTCTCTTCTTCATAGGTTTGAGGACCCTGCAACACTGAAGATGCTACGAAGTGTTCTTACTTTGCTACCTGATGGGAACTTAAACAGTTTAGTGCTTCAGCTGCTGCTTGCTCACTCTCAGTTTGCACCTACCATACATTATGTTTCCAAATCATCTGGTGGTTCTCAGTTTGGTGTGATCTTTAAGCCTATGTCCAGCATTCTGAGATTACTTCTTGTTCCATCTACTGATCAAAGTGCACTTAATGTGGAAATGAGTCCACAAAATACGTCTGAACTGAACATGAAACGGCTGGAAGTTGTTAAGTTACTTAGGGCACTGTTTCATTTCACGTCTCAGCAGCGTGGTTTTGATTTCAAAAAAGACATCAGTGTGAATTCTAGAGAATTGGTTTTCTTGCTCCTGTCTTCTTATGGTGCAACACTCAGTGAAGTTGACTTGGAAATATACGATCTCATGTTTGAAATTGAGTCTGCTAATGAATCAAATTCTGGAAGCATTGCTGAGATGGATTACCTTTGGGGAGCTGCTGCTATAAAAGTAAGAAAAGAACGAGAACAGGAGCAGGATCTGTCATCTGTTAATATGAATGATGTTGAAGAATGCCGAAGAAGTCAATTTAGGGAAAACCTCCCTGTTGACCCCAAAGTGTGTGCAACTACTGTGCTACATTTTCCTTACGATAGAACTGTGAGTGAGGGAACTTTATTCTTGTCCAAGTATCGGCATGATAATTCTGAGGTATTTGTCTGACTACAGTGAAGCTGAACTCCTCTTATGGCATATTCACCCAAAAAGTCCTCTTATGGCATGCTGCAGTTTTCAACTATTTGTTTATATAATTTGTTATTGTCATTATTATTGTTGTTGTTACTATTGTTATTATGAACTTATCCATGGCCCAGTTGCAATTCTTATTAATTTGTTGATTTTATTCTATGCAGACACCTTATGCAAATGTTGAGAAAATATGCATATATGATCCTGTTTTCATCTTGCGCTTCTCAATTCATAGTCTGTCAATGGGTTACATTGAGCCTATGGAGTTTGCTAGTTTAGGGTTGCTCGCAATTGCATTCGTTAGCATATCTTCACCACATGATGAGATGAGGAAATTGGGTTATGAGGCTCTTGGAAGATTCAAGACTGCATTAGAGGTACTTCTGTCTTTCATCAAAATTGCTATTTATGGAACATGCTGTGAATGCTGCAAAATTTTCATAAATTTGGGTTGTTATTTGTTCTTCCTATTGTGTGTGTAATGTTAACAATTCAAGCTGGAATGAGACTGCATTAGCGTTCAGTGTGCGATTGTGGAAGCACTTGCTTTTAGGAGGGTCAAAGTTTTGGAGTTTGTAGGAAACATCTGACTACAACCCAAAACTCAACTCTATGTTGGTGATCTGTTTTCTCTAGTTTGCTCTACGCAAAAGCATGCTTACATATACATATAAGTAGATCAATCAATAGGGCCAGCTAAGCTTGAGGCCTGCCTGTCCAACCCATACAATTCCAGGCCAATATTAAATTGGGAACGGGCTGAGTTTGGACAAAGTTAGGCCCAAAAGTGAATTCAGCTGAGTTTGGGCAATAAATAGCTTAGCCTGTCCAAGGCCTGACCCATTTTATTAAATGTACAAGTGATAATTTGAAGTTCTATTTTATTTATTTATTTATTTTTATATTAGCCTAAAAAATAAAGAATTGTATATATCTTTTTTTTTGGCCAATACATAATTACATAGATACATATGTGTTACTTAGAGAATTTGTATAGGAAAATATTCTATGTACATAAAATGGAAGAGAGAGAGAGAGAGAGAGAGAGAGAGAGAGAGTACATAAAATGGGAAGTATTCTACAAAACTATGTATGAGAATTTAATTATTGTTAAGTCAAAATCATAGATAAAAAGGCATTTTTTCCCATCCCTTCTCCCACCACCCTGTCCCCTTCTTTCTGCTAGCTTTAACACCTTAGCTTTCATCACATGCAAGCACACAAAATTTGTCCAGAGAGTTGGAAATCCACACACACACACACACATATATATAAGTGCCATATTGGAGGAAAATAATATGAATCAGAGTGAGTGCCAAAAAGTTTAGTGCATATATTTAGTGTGCCGATTCCTTCTCGGCACGAATCAACCGCCTGACACGAATCATTAAAATACACATCGCCACATTGGTTGTGAAAAATGAATTAGAGAATGTGGCAATGGTGATGGGTATTTTAAGGGGAAGGGGTGGGGGTTGGGGTGGGTTTGGGAGGCAGTAAGGGTGGATTCAAGTGGATCGGGCGTGGCGACAGGAAGGGATATACATGCACAAATATTTTTTTTTTTTTTTCCCCCTGTTTTTGTTCGATCAGTAAATAAGTTCCTACACATACCTTTTAAACACAAAAGTTTCCATTTAATGACTTAACATTAATGTATTTGTCATTTACATTTCCAGCTGCTGTCATACAGTATTTTGTAGTGTTGGAGGAACCTTTTTTTTAATTTATTTTATTTTAAATTTCAGCTTAATTGTTGTAAACATATGTGGTCTGCCTTTCTTTCTTTCCCACATTGAGAGAGAGATGCATAATTTTCTTTTATGTGTCAAGTTATCTGTGATGGTCTTTAATATTCCTCTGTTTTTGTTATTAATTTTCCTTTAGTATCTGTAAGTTCTTTGTTCATAACGATTTCAAACTATTTATTACAGAGGTGTCAAAAGAGGGAGGGTTTAGTGCGACTTCGGCTTTTGTTGACTTATTTGCAAAATGGTATAGAAGATCCTTGGCAGAGGATTCCTTGTATCATTGCTATGTTTGTTGCAGAGGCTTCTTTCATATTACTGAACTCTTCACATGATCATTATTTAACCATAAGTAACTTTTTGGTGCGCTCTCCGAGGGTGAATGTGAAGGTATCTGCTTTCTGACTGCAAGGAATCAGTTTATGCTATTTTCATTTAGTTTAGCAGTTGGCCTTATAAGGTTTATATGCAATTTATTCATTTCTATTATTCATTGACAAGAGTCATATACAATTAACTAAGAAATAGCTATATAATTCATGTCCTTTTTGCGTGTAACAAGGATCAATTCTGAATTCTTATAGTATTTTCCGACTTTGGTTGCAGTGTATACCATTATTTGAAACTTTTTTTTGGAGCAGCACTGTGAAGTTTAGGACACTCAGACTCTGGATACTTCGTCTCTTGTATGCTGGGCTAAATTCAGATGATGATGCTCAAATATATATCAGGAACAACATCCTTGAGATTCTACTGGCTTTTTATGCCTCTCCGCTTTCGGATTCTGAGTCAAAGGAATTGATCCTTCAGGTAAATTCTAACTTTGTTTCTCATGCTTGTTACAAGGTTGCTTTGATTTATGTAAAATATTGATTCACAATCATCACATTAAGTTGGTTGCAGTTGGATTGGGCATTAGACAATGTGTTGGGCATGGGGCATTCTGTGTAGAGTTGGTTGTTCTCTATTTGATGAGAATGATGGATTGATTAAATTGAAATTGGTTGGAGATCAATTAATCAACTGTTAATTATCAAAATTGGGAATGATTTGATCATAATTGTCTTATTCACCATGCTTTTAGGCACAATTCCATAGGTTCGTAGTTATTTCAAATTGCTTTATTATATATATGTTACCACTTATAAAGGCATCCCATGTAAGAACTAAAATGTTTTATTTTTGCTTGCTTTGTAGGTGGTAAAGAAATCTGTTAAACTTCATAAGATGGCTCGCTATTTAGTTGAATACTGTGGTATGATTTCATGGTTATCATCTATTATTTCAGTCTTCTGCAGGAAGCAATACCAAGGGCCAGGAAATTTTCCATCTACTTTTTTAATCACAGTACTGGAGGTAATAAGCTATTCCGATTATATATATATTTAATTTTTATTTATGACGAGGAAACCTTTAAAGGCTGGGCCACATTGGACCCACCCTTGTAGGGTAATTCCATCACCCGATGCCAAAACCTCCCACAAGCCACATGTATCAGGTAAGGTGTTGCTAGTGGTGTTCAAACTCAATAACTCCTAGTTTATAATTGGTGTGAACCCTCCCTTAAATCACAAAGTTATTTCGGTGGCCTAATTTCAGCCATAAGCTATTCCAATATGTCTTATGTTACCTTTTAGAAAAAGGCCGACCTAGTGTATTAGGCTCCCGTTAAAGCGGGTTTGGGGAGGGCAAGATGTAGGCAACCTTACCCCTACTTTTGGAGAGGCTGATTCTGTGACTCGAATCCGCGGCACCAGGGCGCGAACTGCAAACCTTATCATTGGGCCAAGCCTTACCTTTAGTGCTGAAAAAATCCCCTTTTTCCTTTATTTTCTGTGTCTTTTTAATTTTTCTTGGTGTATACAAATGAATTGCCAAGATAGCCTAAAACCAACAAATTCTTATACCGTTCCTATTCCTGATAGTGTTCATAGTGGTGACATCTGTGTGTTGCATCTTGTTGCAATGACAAATAACGTGATAGTAATGGCACGGGCACCGGCATCGGCCATGCATTGGACACGTGTTAGACACTCAAATTGGAGTGTCCCAATTTTTTTTTTTTTGCTTGGACATGCTTGGGACACACTCGAGGTCAAAACAAAATTTTAAAAAGTTTGTGTGGGTCTAAGTGAAAAGTTAACTTTGTTTTTTTTGAGTAATAAACCTGACTTTTATTGAATGAATGTCTATGAATGTGTAATTCTTGATTTTTATTTTTATGTTATATTATACCCTACTGTGATTGTAGTAGCAATTGTTTTGTTATAGTATGGCCTACTGCAATTGTAACTGTGATTGTTATGATACAGAATATGTAAGTATTCAATTTTAGTTAGTGTTATGTTGCATTATTGCATTATCTTGTGTGAAATATTCAAATACATGATTTATAATAAATGTATAAATTTATATATGAGTGGTGCTATTTGCTCCTACCTTTCTTCTTTGGACTCCAACCTCCATTTTTTTATTCCAATTTTATCCTAGTATAAAATTTCATTTCTACCCCTTTATCTAATCTTCCTAATCCTAAGTTCCCAAACCCAAACCCTAACCCCACTATCTATCACCACCTCCGGCTGCCCCTACTTGACTCCTCCATCACCTTTAGCCTCTTCCCATCCTCCCTTCACATCTCTGCCGCCACACAACCCTCTTGACACATCCCAGCACTGGCCAACACCCTCTACCCCGCAACCCCCAACCCCCGCCCCTCACCTTCTGTATAACGCCCCAACCCTCTACATGCTTTGTGGAGAGAGAGAGAGAGAGAGCAATGATGGGGCTGCGGGTTTCAGAGCTAGGGTTTTTGCAGAGGGAAGAAGAAGACAATTAAGGGAGGACGTTCGTGATGGTGTTGGCTGTGAGGGTGTGTGTCACGAGTCAGTGGGCATGAGGCAGGGGATTTGTGGGTAGGAGGAAGGTAAGATGGGGTTTGCAGTGGGGAAGGGTGGGGCGGGGTTTGACTTGGGGAGGGTCACCGGAGGGGTTGGGGATGTGGTGCTAGAGGAGAGGAGGGGCTACTAGAGGTGAGGGGGGTGTGCATGAGGGCTGTTGTCGGATGTGGTGCTACTGGCCGTGGGGTGATGCCAGCAGTGAGGGGGCTGTTGGAGGAAGAGTTGGTGGAGGGTGGGGGTTCAAAGAATAGAGTATAGTTGGAATTAAGATGGTGGTTCAAAGAGAAAAGGAGGGGGAGTCATTTAGGTTGGTGGGGGTCCAAAGAAGTGGGGGATCCTGAGAAGAAAGTGGGGAGCATTTAGCAACACTATATATATTTTTATGTGTGTCCCCATGTGTGGTGTCTTGCATTTTTTTAGAATTTGCATGTCAATGTGTCTGTGTTCGTGTTCATGTCCAAGCTTGTTAGCTCTTTTGACAAATTGATGTTGAATATTGACTCTTGATTCTTCTAACTTCAGTTTATTGTTTCTATTTAGGTAGTCAATGACGTTCTTTCATCCCGAAACACAATTGATTGGTTGCAAAAGTTCGCCCTTGAACAGCTCTCAGAAATTTCAACTCATTTATACCAACTCTTAGTTGGTACCAATCTGATAAAAGAAAAGGTTTCTTTTGTTACTTCAATTCTACAGATATTGACATCAACTTTGAAGATATCACAAAAGAGGAAAGTTTATCAGCCACATTTTACCCTGTCTATTGAGGGTTTGTTTCGGATATATGAAGTCATTAATGTCTGCAGTAATGGCAATTATAGTCCTAGTGCTGAATTAGGACTGAAAGCTGTACTTATGAGCACTCCTTCTGTCGCCTTAGTATGCATGGTATGTCTCTCTCTCCATTGATTTGGTGTCCTGCATATGTGGGAGCATGCTGGATCTGTTGTGCATGTTTATGTATATTGTGACTGCAAATATGAATGATGTTTTTTGTATTTTACAAATTATATTATATGCTTATATGAGTGTCATAACATATATACAAAAGGAGAGTTAATGATGGTTTAACTTATAGAATTAAGGTAGTACTAAGTCAAAATGACTATTATCAGCCATGCTTTCTCTCTCCCCTGATGGACCATATAGCCAAGAAAAACGATGAACTAGAATAGAAATGCTTGCCCTATCTATGAGAAAATAGTTCATAGTAGAGTACCAAATGTTGGGTAATCAAGACATACATCTTTACAAAGTCAGTGTAGTTGAAATTCGGATGCCAAGGTGAATGTGTGGCAAAATTAGAAAATATAGGATCATGATAAATGAAATTTTGAATCAATTTTTAGATTTTGTAGAGACCAATGAATAAGTTTTTGATCGATAAGCTGGTACAGTCCTTTTTTGTATGCAAGTTGCACCCTCATGCTCTTTTTTTGAAGTAAACTTTCATACTTATAAAAAAAGCACTATGAAACACATCAAAGCAATGATTCGTTTTAACCTTAGTAGCAGGAATCGTGGAAGGGACTCACGTTTCTAAAGAAGAAGCGTGATTTTGCGCTTCCAAGAAAGAATCGCATAAGAATCGCGCTTCTAATGCGAGAGAATCGTGCTTCTAATGCGAGAGAATCGCGATTAGGGCTGAGACTAGGGCTTCGATCATCTTCGTCCCTCTCTTCACTCACTGTTGATCTCGATTGTCTTTGTCTCTCTCTCTCTTCGTCTCCCTCTCTGTCTCTGTTTGCTTCTCTCTCTCGATCTATTCTCTATTCTCCCTCTCCGTTTTTATATTTGTTTTATATAATATAAATATAATATAATTTATTATATATAATATAATTTATAAATTATAATATTTATCAAGTATAATATAATTTGTCATAAACAATATAATTTTTCTGTCTAAAATAAAAAAAATATTTATTTTGTCATATATAATATATTTTTTATTTTTTATTTTTTTAACAGAATTGATTATTTCTTAACTTTTTAACATATAATAAATAAAATAAAGCATCTAATTGTTTAAAGGAAATCTATTTAAATCATATACAATTAAAAAAATCTTTAAAAATTTATAAAATAAAACATCTAATTTTTATTTTTTATTTATTTTAACATAATTTATTATTCCTTATTTATTATAATAAATAAAATATAATTAATAAAAATAATGCATAAGCGCTCCTAATTTACAACTCTTCTAAGTGGCCACGTTCCCCCGTTCCGACTTCCGCTTCCGTTTCTGCTTCGTGCAACTAAGGTTTTAACACATCAAGACCCTGAACGAAATTGTTTCCATTTTCCTTTTGGGCAACTTACACTTTCACTCCCTAAAATATGGGTCATTTTTCAATTTGGCCTTTAAAGAAAAGATTCTTCCACTTTGGTCCCTAAACTATTTGTCGTTTCTCACGTTGATCCAATTACCAGCTCTCATCATGGTCAAAGGGTAGTTTTGGAATTTCAAAATCTAAGTTTCCTACTTTGGTTCCTAAATTAAGCTTTCCCGCTTTGTTCACTAAATCCAAACCCAACCTAATCTCAAAACCATCCCCACTTCAAAAGCCAATCTCAAAGACCAACATCATGACTGACAAAAATGAAAAATTACGGTGGGTACTTGTCATTCGATTAGCAAAGAGTCTGTGGATCAAAGTTTGGGGGCTGGGGGAGGAGATCAGGTGGTGGGTTTGAGCCATTGGTAGAAGGAAACGGTAATAGAAAACAATGTAGATTCATACTTTGAATGAAATGTTCATATACATGACATAAAATAATTGCTTAAAACTATATATTTTGACTTTGAGCATTTCCCTATCTGTCTTGTCATGCATTTTAAAAAAATTATTGTGTCGGCATGTCTGTGTCATGTGTTGTGTCAAGTGTTTAGCTACTTAGGTATCAGCCGATACTAGTGTGAATTACTATTATTTTTTTTTCTTGCCGATACTAGCATGCGTTTCAATATCAGAGGCTCCAAATACCATATTTAATAGCCGATATACCATTACATAAAGATGATATTTCAAACCATGCTTGTCACGTCTATAATTTAGCAGATCTCTTATATGATTGGGTGATGGTGTCCATGGCATGTTCGTGTATGGTATTGTTATCTTGTGCGTTACAGGATCAGGAAAAGCTTTTGAAGTTTACAAGGTGGGCTACTTCGACTGCTTTGCTGTTAAACTCAAAATTGCTTCAGCCCAGAGAAACTTATTGCCATTCCACAATTTTCTTAGAGGAACAGCAATCTGAAGATTCTTTAATATCAACACTTTTGCGTTGGCTGACTGCTTCTGTGATCGTTGGAAGGCTTTCTTGGAGATCTAATGACTTGGACTCAAATTTGGTTCTTGAAAGATCAGGCCTAGAAACACTGCAATCTTTATTGGAACACAGTAAGAAAGGATGTGGAGAAAATCAGACTGGCTTTGGCTGTGAAGAAATGCTAGCTGCTAGTATTTTTTACCTCCAACAGCTTCTTGGCATGGACTGCAGATTGCTTCCTTCTGTTGTCTCAGCTCTCTGTCTGCTGCTTTTTTCTGATGTCTCCTATTTAGCAGGTAGAGTATCTTGTTCTCGTTTTTAATCATTTGTTGTCCCAGTACTGAGGCTGAAAATTGAGGTCATTTTTGCAAATCGGATTTGAAAAACTTTCGTTTATTTGGCCTAGTCTCATGAATTTCTGCACATGACCATGAAGTTGACCTGGAATAAGGTCTTGGATTCTCGTTTCAAAAGTATTGGACTTTCCTGAATGGGGAATCTAGTTAATGGGTGGAGATGCAATGCTCTACTGTCCCCCTCCCCCCTCCCATCTGTTGGAGAATTGTCTATGTTTTGGCCAAATTATGTTTTTGGAAGGCAGTTCCTGGACTCCCCTCCTCCCCCACATAATCACCCTTTGATGCAGGCAATAAAAAACTGAAGAAAAAAGTACAATTAAAAAAGTGGCTGAAGTGCAAAATATGGAAATTTGCTGGTTTCATGTTGGGATCCACTTGGGATTTTCCATGATTGAGTTTTGGTCTTTTATTTGCTTATTCAGCATGCTACTGGTCTACATTTTTCCATTAAGTTGTGGAGGTACAGATTTTTCAAGAATAAAAAGTAAAAAGGATTTGTGGAGGTAGGGGTGTTTACCTATTTTCTGGGCATGGCCCATATATGTTAACAAGAAGTCAAGTCGTGATAATTAGAGTCTTCATATATGTTATTTAGTTGGTTTGTATGGGTCTTAGAAGTGAAATATTTGAAACCTTATCCTTTTCAACTGAGATGCTTCAAGGTCAACTTTGTACTTTAAGAATGATGTGATTAATTGGGGAAGTGGAGAATGTCTTTTTAGTGATTGCTGATAAGATTGTAAGATTTGTTTTTTGAGTTTTTTTTTTCATGGTGCCAAATTCTTGGCTGCCGAGAAGCATGTTTATGAAATAAAATACTGAAAAAATAGGGTTAAAGACAAATGATGAGGCATGGAAACAAGCATTATAGTGACAAATATTTTTGGGAGATTAGGAGGTAAATTGAAGATGAAATGAGGGAAAATTAGATGCAGTGGTAGTTACCAAATGCTGCCCAAGTTGGAGGTTTTTGGTTCAACTTGTTGCAACAAGGTGAAGGTTGAGAACAACATGGTTGATTCAAAAACTGAATGTCATAGTCCTGTGCTCTCTGTGGAAGATATATCCTTACATAAATAATGAGGCAATATAAAGTTCAAATAGCTGAATCAAAGCACTTGGGATTGGGATTTTTAAATACAGTTATGCATACATTGAGTGAAGGAGGTGTGGATTAATTAGCGTGCTATGCTCCATTGTAATACCAGGGGATGTTTTATAAATTATAACCCAATGAAATGTTTAAATACAGTTATGCATACAACGTGTGAAGAAACTGTTTTATAATCCATACATCGAGTGTTCTTTATGACTTTTCAATTTATTCTGTGTTACACAGTCAATCATTTGTCTGAGTCATAAATAATAACATTGTTATTTATCTTCTTGTTGGGGCAGAAATGGACTGCTTACTTGATAATGGGAATAATTTGGCATCACTTTGCTCCAGAATTCATTGCCCTGTTGAAGCTAATCCTTCATGGAGATGGTAAAATATTTTTTATTCTCCAATAATTTTGAGTTTTATCATTTTCTTGTGTGTTTATGTTTCCTTCTGATTAGATATGTATAACTCCAGTATTTGCTCATTACTGGGAATGCCCGCCATTACTTCTGATGCACCCCCACATCACATAACGCATTTGCTCACATTTTGCCCCCTCATGAACCTGATTTCTGTTTATTGATAAGACTGAGAATTGTTGAGATTAATTGCATTGAATCATCCATTGGTTCTTGGAAATCTCTCTATACTTTTGAAGGGATTGCTTATTCAGAATAAGTGATTTGATGAAAGATTCTGGCAAGAACAAACTCAATTCAACTGAAAATTTGGTCATATCTTTATTTTGTATCTGTTTTCATCAAAAGTTTCATGCCAAATGAAAAAATTTAGCTAGTGATTGCTGCTTAGTTCCGTCCATTGTTTTGGGACAATATGGAATTCATTTGCCCAATTCCGTGGCTTGTTGCCCAATTTTGCTGCTAGAATATTGTGTCTGTTTTTGTTGAACAAGGCGGTCATCTACCAAACTAATGCCGCGAAACACTCTTCATTTTGTGCAGGACATTTTATCAGCCGTGGATGGATCTCTCATCCAAATCCACTGATGCTGCTCAGAAGCTGGATGAACATCACGCTTGCCAATCTCTTTTAGTGGTAATTTCAAATGTTATTGGAAAGAAATCATCACATTCACATTTTCTGTCGCTTCAAGACATAGAAAATTGTGGTGTATTTAACTGGGAAAAAAGTATTCTGGAAAGCAAATGATGTCTTTGGTGGATTCAATTCATTCATTTTTATTTCCTATTAAAAAAAAAAGTCTTTCATTTTTGGTATCAATGGTAGTAAGGTTGGTCTTATTCCCCAATTTTTGTGTGCGCTAGTGTTGAACTTTTCTTTACTAGAACTTGAGATTTCCTGCAGGGAAGCTAACTAGTGGATATTGATGCAGTTGGACTCAGTGATGATGTAAAATGAAAGCAGATAGATTTCACTGAACCCATAAATCCATTTCAAATGGGATGTGATGCATTAGCAATGGTTCTTCTAGGTTTCTTCATTTTTCTTTTGGTTCCAAGAGCACTCAAATTGGCCAGTTTAGGATGTACCAAGTCTGTGTTCCTCATCTACCAGGTGATTAGGAGGATGAAAAGCCTATAGAGGCCTTAAATTTGTGTTCGGATTTTGAATTTAAAGACAGAAAAAAGAAAAAAGAAAAAAAAAAAATCTAAGATACAGACACAACTTAAGTATCATTGGGTGGTTTAACTTGGCCATTTCTCTCATGTATATGCATTAGCTTTTTGCCGTAGTTGTGAAATATTGGTGGAATTTTTGTTAGTTTTAATCACGAGTCTCACTCTAAGAGCATCTCCAACCACTCTTTATTTTTCATTAGCTAAAGTACAAAAAAATGACACTCTTTATTTTACCTAATTAGTTTAGCTATTGTGTGTTCCAACCACTCTCTTTATTTTAGCTAGTCATTCAAACTAATTCAACCAATTTTCAAAACAAAAAATGCTATATATATATTACTCTTTTTCATAGAATGCCACATATGCACCTACTCTCTAATATGATTGTCAATGTGACATTTGCGATAATATTTTTAAAAATAATATTTTTTAATATTAGTTTTAAAAATATTATAAAAAATAATGTTAAGTAATATTTAATTTTTTTATTATAAAATTTATAGTATGTGAATATATTTCAACATATGAATTTGGTGGAACCATCTTGAAAGGGAAGGGAGGGGAAGAATAAAAGAAAACAATAAAGAATTTTTTTTAAAAAAATAACAATACAAAAGAAGTTCTTCAATAATTGTAATTTATCAAATTAAGAACTGAAAGAACACAAATTAACTAATCAAAAACCTTACAAAGGTAGGTCAATGAAAAAATAAGAAAAAAAAAATCATAAATAGCAAAGTTGGGAATAAACTTCAAAATAAATAAACTATTTCTAACATTCCCACATTCTTAGCCAATATGGCTTTGATTTTTGTTCATTCGCTTGCACTGGATCTAAGCTAATGTTAAGCCATGCCGATATAAGCATACTGTCTTCTTCTGTAGTGAAGTTGCCACCTCGTTGTGATTTCTTGGTGGTTTCTATTTGAGGAGAGATTGGGGAAGACTAATCCCATTGGTCAAGCGGTTCATCTATTTCATAGTCAGTCCCATCATTCATCAAGTTGGTGAAATATGCACCATTTTGTTGTTGATTCATCTATAGACAAGGTAAAGAAAATTATGGCAACATATATTGGGCTGGAGAAATAGAATCCCAGTTGGAAGCAAATTAATTAATAAATGGAGATCATATAAATTAAAACAATAGTTGTTTTGTTGAAAATGATTCAATGATAACTTTAGATAAATAAATGGAGATCATGTAAATTCAATGAAAAAGGATTCAATGATAGTTGCAATCAACTCTCTAATGATATATAACAATAGCTCTAATTCTGCTAACATTCTATCAAGCTTATATATTATAAAACTAATATACACTCCATGTTACTTTCATAACATTCTATCAAAAAATAGGAAAACTTGACAGCAAAAATGAATTAAGGCATTTTTTCCTTGCTAATGGGAATTACCTCACTAATTGAATGATAGTAGTGGATATATATAAGAATATAAATCAACAAAATCACCTACATCTTCAAAAATGTAAAATAACCATGCCATATTTAAGTATGCACAAGTGTGCAGACATAACATCTTATAATGCTAATTTTCACTATAAATATTTCAATGTGTAAAAATCAAAATTCTATTAAAAACATAAACTGATGGGACTCGATACTACACAGCAACATATGAGGCATCTCAATTAAGCATAGTTCTAGTCTACAACCACATATAAGAGACGAAATCATGATCACTCACAATAATGGGAGTCAATACCAACGAGGCTACATATGCAGACATCTTTCTTGCACTCTTAACCATAATGTTTCAGTGTCAGTTACCGAATACAATAAAAAATATAATGGCGTCACATACTCAAACCATTGAACTAGTGGGGACTAGACACTCGCAAAATGAACAAAATTTCTTGCACTAGCCCAAACAAAGAGGCTAGAGGTACATCAAAATGCTAAAAACCAAACTAGCTATAAACACATGGCCATTAGCCCCTAATTATTAAGGCAAAGCCACAAATATAAGATCTAAATCAATAGAACAAGTTGGAAAATAAAGCATTCAGACTTCTTAGGCAAATACTATTTCATGATCACTTACAATAATGGGAGTCAATACCAACGAGGCTACATATGCAGACATCTTTCTTGCACTCTTAACCATAATGTTTCAGTGTCAGTCACCGAATAAAATAAAAAATATAATGGCGTCACATACTCAAACCATTGAACTAACGGGGACTAGACACCTGCAGAATGAACAAAATTTCTTGCACTAACTCAAACAAAGAGGCTAGAGGTACATCGAAATGCTAAAAACCAAACTATCTATAAACATATGGCCACTAGGCCCTAATTATTAAGGCAAAGCCACAAATATAAGATCTCACAAAAAATCAATAGAACAAGTTGGAAAATAAAGCATTCAGACTTCTTAGGCAAATACTATTTCACAACCAACTACATGCCTGAAGTGAGAAGTATCTTGCCCCAACAGGGGTCTAGAATGCCATTAACTAGACCTGAAAAGGGTGGTTCTCTATCAAAAGAAACTCTCTTACATGGAATTGGTGAAACATTTTAGAATTGAAAATCTTTCCTTCCCTAACATAAAGCAAAGGTAATTCATCAATCTCATATGATCAGAGAGGCTCTACAAAGCACACAATCATGCCTTTTACAATTTAAGTAAATTTCCAAACTAATATAAACTACATCTCTAGATTGCATGATAAAGGTTCGTTTAGAAAGTGAAATAGCAGTATTTAACAATAAATATAACACTTCATATCTTTTTACTAGAAGTTTTCCAACCAAAAATAAGTAATTAAAAAAAAAAAGAAAAAGAAAAGGAAGGAAAAAAAAATGCTACTGTGCGTCATCCATGATGAGTTTCTATGCTTCAAGTTTAAATAGAAATGATGATATGTGTCCTCAAATTTCTCTCAACCAACTGTATATGACATTTGGTTTATACAGTTCCTATCATAGGTCATATATATTATTCAAGGTGAAGAAAATTATGACAATCAACCCTTCTTCACAAACAAATGACTTATTCAAAAGAAGGTTATCAGATCCTTCTGTCTATCAAATGTTAAAATAATGTACATTTTCTCTAGTATGTGTCGGTTGTAAGTTAACAAAAGAGAAGATATATAACCTTCAAGATTTTCACAAATATACATGTCACATACGTCAAATTGCTAGAATATATAAAGACATCATTTTCAATTGATTTTCATTGGTTTAATATGTCATACAATGATAAAAACATATCATCATTCACAGCAAAGTTTAGTATCTTGACAAATTTGCAAAGCCAATTCTTTACACTGAAATTAACAATTATTCTTTATACCATCTCAACCAACAATTAATTTCTTTAGTTTTTCATCCCAATGTCCTAGTTTGGCAAACCTAACCTTTTTTCTTACTCTTTGACCATTAATTTAGCAACTAAATAATCCTGCAACCAATTTTCTTAACATCCAGTCCAGTAACCTGCCACCCACTAATCAAGCCAATTCAGACCTAATTGTCTGCAAATGCCATAAATTTCACACACCCTCTAGACCCTTAATCTATGGTCTTTCCACAAGCAAACCCCCGCATAAACCTATTTATGGGTGATATTGTTGCAAGTCTCATAGAGCTATTGTATGGCACTAAGAAAATGTTTGGCAACTAAATTAAGGGCTAGTTTGGCATGTTTGAAAAAAGTTAAAAAGTCAAAAAGTCACTATATTATTTAAGTCACATCACCTTATTTAAGTCACATCACCTCTCTAACACATCACTTCAAACCCAACCCAAACCCAACCTATATTTCATAAAAATTTAAAAAGTACACTTATTTAGATCATCCCAAACAACCCCTTAAGTGCTCGGGTAAGCAGTTTTTCAAATGAATGTTTTATTATGTGTGTTTTAATAATGCACAACTAGTTACCACTTGAATTTGAAATTCATTGTCAAAGATGCTTGACTTATCATTGAATGCTAAACATGGTTACTGAGTAGCAGTTTATGTTTTAATCTCTATGGACAAACTCATCATTAAATTTTCAACATTAGTATTCAGCTACTTAAATCTTCAAGACCACTGATTCAACAATAAAATGAATATCTTCATTTACTACAGATTAGGATTATGTATTAGGGAAACAGGGTCACGGAGGAGTTCAACTACTAGCAATAAATTTTTCATAGAACAATCAAATTGATTTGAGGAGTGCTATTAGCATTAGATTTTATCATAGTTTTATTTCGCTGAATATAATGGTAAGATACAACTCTTTATTTTTTTCCTTACATGATTTTTTCCCCAAACATGGAACTAATTACAAGTGTCCAACTAGGTGGCAACAAAACAGAGACAAAAATCCACTAACATCTAGCTCTTTTGTTAATTTGTTACCTTTAAACAAATAAACACCGTTCTCTTTTTCCCTTTTTTTTCTTTCAATTCCATTACAAACTGATGGGATTATATTTTGTAAACTACAAACATTGAAATCGCTGACCAATGATTTGCAGGTCTTTATTCATAAACTAATTTTATCTCTATGTCATGATTGCTGATCATTGAAAGTAAAATTCATAAACTAAACATCATCTATATTCAAGGAAAAGCATTTAGTCCCCATTGTGAGGAGTTTTTTTACTTTCATTAAATCAGATGTCTTTGATAAGTTGGTCTTTCAGACGGGTGTAAATAGTATATTGACACTATTTTAAATTCACATGCATAATTTTGGTCTGGACTTTGATGCTTTACATTATATAGAGGAGGATGTGCATTGCATTCAAGTTGTCTATACTCCATACGGCATAAATATGAGATTAAATACGAATTTTTTAATTAGATTGGAGCCTTTAGGGTTGCAGATTGCTTTTCTTGGAGAGAGACGGTTTGTGAGTTGCATAGAAGAGGAAGACAGAGAGATAGAAGGTCCATACCTTGAGGAAGAGGTCAGATAGAGGGAATTGCAGACAACACTGAAGGAGAAGATTGATTTCGCCCTGAAGGAGCAGATCGATTTCGCAGGAGAGACGAGTTTGGAGAGCCTTCAATCACTCTCCAATTGAAGCCAGCGGAGAAGACACGAGGGAAAATAGGAAGCCACTTAGCCAGCCCATTGGAGGAGAATATTTGGACGATATTAGCTAAAATAGCTAACAGGATCAATATGCCTCTTCCCTTAGAGTTGCTCTAATACTTGTTCATCTTTTTGTAAGTTTGTGTGTTAAATTATTAATAAAATATATCATCTTTTCTAATAACTCATGTTAAAGCCATGGATATCTTTGTAAAGGGTTTTTTAGTGATATAATTCAACGGTTTGGATCTAAAGTTCAAATAAAACAATTCTAAGATGTATATATTTTTATTTTGATATTATTTAATTTTAATTTTTAATTTAAATCATTGAATTATATATTTTTGGATTAATTACAAAAAAAAAATATAGGGTTTTGTGCTTTTTTCAATTTAAATCCCAGGTTTTCAATTTTAACAATTTATACCGCATCCTTCTATCTGTGTTTCATTCCAATCCCTCCGTCTATCTTCGTCTTTATTAGTTAGCGGAAGATTGATTTGGGTGCCAAAATTGTATAAAAAGGCCCTAACAATCATGGCCTTGCTGGGTAAAGAGTGAAGCAACTTCAGTGGAACCATTCAAGAGCGTTTGCCCCGGAATCCTATACAAATTGTTCTTCCCTCCTGTAATCAAAGGAAGATTTACCAGACTCAGGTCTCTTCTTTGAGCTCTTCCTCTTCCTAATTCCCAGAGGGGAACTTGGGAGAGGGCTTCTACTATTAGATGACAAGAAGAGACGGAGGGGAACTTGGGAGAGGGCTTCTACTATTAGATGACAAGAAGAGACCAAACAAAGGAATATGAAGAAAAAGAAAAAAAAAATTCCAACCAGAATTGCAGAACCAGGCTTCATCATCATCATCATCATCAACAACAACAACAACAACAACAACACAAAAATAATCTTTGTCCAAAGCCTAACCTAAAATTGGAAAAAGAAAAATAATATATAAAGGTCAACAACAACCAGAACTTTATCTGTACAAATTTAAAGATTCACAATCTCATTTTCTTCTCCATTTCGAGGTTTTCTCATCAACCAAACTGCACCAAAAAATTTAAAAAACCAATAATTTCATAGTACTTTGTGTTCTTCGATGCTTTCCCAAATATCTTCGATGATCAATTGATCTACACAAAACACAAAACAAAGCACGAAAATGATCGATCAAACCCTCGAGAATCAAGATCCATACAGATCGATACACATAGATATACAAATAGGAAAATGAATTAGTGCTATCACTAATGATGTGGCAGTGGACCCCACCATGAATAATGTGATGTTTTGGCCTTGGTGTTATATTTTTTTTCTTTTTTTATTGAGTGCCATGTCATTAGTGGTCTTTTTAGAGTTTCAAAATTAATGGTCTCAACCATTATTAATACAAATATAGAGATTTTAGAGAGAGAGAATGAACCAATGATTAGAGAATTTGTGTGTGGACTTTGGTGTTTAAGGGAAGAAAGAGAGAGAGAGAGAGTGAGGGGTTTGCTTGCTTTTGGAGTCAGATCTGGCTCAGTTAATGCAGTTGTGGAACAAATCGAGAATCTGAAACAGATATGAGATTTGCGATTTGAGATCTAAAATAGATCTATCAAACCGAGAATCGCAGATTTGGCAAGTTTAATGTGGTTGTGGAACAACTCAAGAATTTGATGTTTGTCGGGATAAGGATCGAGAGGCAAATGAGGAGTGGCAGCAGTAGTGGTAGTGGCGCGTGCCTGGGTGTGTTAGAAATGATCGCCGTTAGAGCCTAAGAAGAAAGGGTTGGTCGGAGATTGGAGGTGCGATGCCATAACCGTTCCCTACGTCTGTTCTAATGTTGAAGGATTAGGGCTTAGGGTTTTAACCATGAAAACAGTTAGAAGTTTGAGATTTGACCAAACAAATTTGATCAAATTTGAGATTGCGGCGGCTAGAACGACGTTGTTTGGTGGTGGTGCTGGAGAGGTTTCTGAGATAGTGATGGAAGAGAGAGAAGAGGATGAGAGAAAGAAGATGAGGAGAATACAACACAGAAGAAGAAGATGAAGATAGGGCCTTCTTCTCTGTTTTCTCTCATTGGGCCATATGTACGTAGTATTGTTATCAAACTTGTATAAAACCACCATGATCCTCTAGAGTTTTTTTTTTCTTAAAGTTTCCTAAAGTGGTGTTTTGAAAACTTTAGAAAAAAAAAACTCTAGAGATCCTTGCTCGTATAAAACAACCAAAAAAAATAATCCTATCTAATTATTAATCAATCATATCACTTAAACATTATTAATTTTAGAAAATAAATTTATATATATCATTTTTCAATATAATTTTATTCAGATTGGTCTATTCATATTATTCTCTATCCATAAATTTATGGAAAATGAGTTGGACTCCCAGTAGGGGTGTTGGGATTCTTGTTGATTGACTAAAAAATAATTTTTTTCTTTTTTTTTTGACTTCAGTCACTAACAGTGTGCCATGTAACACTGGGAGTGAGGGTCCTTAGCATCACTCTAAATTTATGAACAAATTTCACTTATATAGTTTGATCCATGTATAGATCATTCTCTTTTTATTTAGAAATAATCATATATAATCCCCTTATCATATATGATATAATAAAAAAGATTAAAAGATTTCTATATATATAAATAATCTAAGGATATGATTTAAGAATATTTTGGTCATTTACTTGACAGACAAAATACACTCTAACATTGTGTACATCTCTTTAAAATTTAAAAATAAATATATAACTCTCTAAAATATATTTTATATTTACTGCTTACTTAGTTAGATAAAATATTTAACAATACATTCCAATTCAAAAATTATAAAGGAGCAATGTCATTATTGGGCCCCGATAAACCTAATAGCTCATGGTATATAAAGGCACCGTTGAGCAATACGCCGCACTAGAAGCCTCGTCCCCTTCCTCTCCCCCCACCCCACCTCCTCTCTCTTCCCCCCCATTTCCAAATCTTTCAATTTCGATCTCCCCATCTCCGATCCCGAGTCCCATCTCTTCAAATCTTCCGAAACCGATGCGATCGTTGCTGGGTTTGTGCTCTTCTTCCCCAATTACTCGACGTTCCTGGCCAAACCAGGCTTCTATATTGAAGACCTGTTCGTGAGGGAGTGTTATAGGAGGAAAGGGTTCGGGAAAATGTTGTTGGCGGCAGTGGCGGCGCAGGCGGGGAAGATGGGGTACGGGAGGGTGGAGTGGGTTGTACTTGATTGGAATGTGAATGCGATCAAGTTTTATGAAGAAATGGGTGCTGAGATTCTGCAAGAATGGAGGATTTGTAGGCTTACTGGTGATGCTCTTCAGGCTTATGCTCATAATACCTGATAAACAACAACTATGGTTTTGTTTTGTTTTGTTTTGTTTTGTTGTGATTTTTTTTTTTTTTTTTAATTTAACAGTTGGAAAAAAGAGAATGGGAAATTAGGGTTTTGGTTGTGAGAGTTGATTTGGGGTTGTTGCAGTGGTGGTGGTGGGGATTTAGGGCTAGGGTTTTTGTGAATGGAATGGGTGTGTTGTCACATGTGCCCTGCAATTTGGAAATAGTTATTCAATGTTACCCGTTTGTTAGATTTCTGTTTTTGCTTTGGTTTTGTTACAGTTTGTTTTACTCATCATTTTGTGTTGTTATTTGTTGTTCTACTAATTCTGATATCACTGGATTTATCCAAAAAAAGCAAATCTGATGTCACTTCTCATTTTTCCATTCCTTAGTCGTTTTGAAGAGTAGGAATTTTTTGATGAGCATGTGATGAGGTTAGTAACATTTTTGAAAGAATAATGATAAGTATGGTTTTATTTTATTAGTTAAATAAAAATATAATGAGATTTCTCTTTTTTAAGGGCATTTACAATGGAATGGCTAAAATTGTTTGTTAAAGTGTATTATATGACAAAAAGTGAGGCTCAAAAATGTGTGATAAGATATGTTAAGGGTTTGTTAATTTAGGGAGTGAGTGGTAGTACAATGGATGTGTTAAAATATGTGTAGAGGTGTAAATTTGGCCTGATGCTGCCCTTCGGATTCGGGCCGGACCCATGTAGGGCTTTGCGGGTTCTCGCCAAAATTCGGGTCGGATTGGGTCGTGCCGAGCTGACCACCGGCCAAAAAATTAAACCCAGGCTTAGGCCCAAGCCCCAAGGGTATTCAGGCCTTGGACTTTGGCGGGCCTGACAATTTTATTTTTTTATTTTTTAAATTTTTTTCTAGTAAAATTTTATTATTTTTCATTAAAAAATACACTAGGTTTTGGGTGGGCCGGACAGGTTGGGCTTCGGGTCGGGCCATAAGTGGGCCTTAAGCGGGCCGATGTGTCGGGTCACGGGCTCAGCCAAACGGGCCGGCCCATGGGCCGAGTTGTGCTTCAAAATAATGGCTTAGGCCCTAGCCTAGGGGCTTGGGCTGGGCTCGGGCGTGGCCCATCTCAGGCCACGGGCCATTTTTATACCCCTAAATATGTGTTAAGTGTGTATATATATATAAATATAAATAATAAATGAAATAAATAAATAGCTACTTACAAGTCGGCTTCTTCAGGACTTCTTGTTCATAGCTCTTTTTCACTGCAATTTTTTTTTATTATTTATTTTTAACTTGAAGGGTCGGGATGTTCGGGGGGACGACTGGCCGGACATCTGGGTGGACTACCCTACGGCACTTTTCATGGCCCTTCTCTCTCCCTCTCGCTAGTTAAAATGTTAGCCACAGTTAACACACAAGTTAACAACTGACAACTTTAACTGTGTTAACAACTGACAACTTTAACACACTTACTAGCAGTTCCACTGTGATAGCAAAATTAGAAAATGGTTGGCTAAAAAGTAACAACTAACATGAACACATGCTCTAACAGTTCCACTGTGGATGCTCTAATAGAGTTAAATAAATTAAAACTAATTTAGATTGTATGAAAAAATAAAAATAAACAACGTAAAGTATATGAAAAGAGAATTAATAAACATTATTTTTTTATTTATATAATTAATGAATTATTGATGAAAAAAGAATTAAGTATTTTATGAATTAAAATTTTAAAAAGTTAAATATTTTATGAATTAAAATTTTAAAAGAATTTAATATAGAGGTTGTTTGGCATTCCTTAAAATAACATATTTATTGTCTTTTTATTATGTTTCGAGTTATATTATCTTTTTATTTTTTTGTATATTTTTTCATAAAAAATTAAAAAATTATTAATTATGTCAAAGTAATAAATTTAATATATATTTTAAAATTTTAAATAAGAACAGTGTAATTCATCTTTTTATTTTATTTTATTTATTTTTTAATAATTAAAAAGGGATGGCTCAAGCATTTCAGAATAGGGAGTGAAACTATATGTTGTATACTATTAATGAGAGGAAAGCTTTGGTATTTATCTTTGGATATAACTTGATAATTTAGGGCTTGGACGGTCTCCAGTTTAAATTTAGGATGGTCCGGTCTAATTCGGCTCATTGGGTTTTTTTTCGATAATTCGAACTGTTTACATTTTAGGATATGTTGAGTACATTATCCCTGTAAAAAATCACATTAATTGGATAGCGGATACTATGTATGCGAATCACTTTTGTCTAAAAAAAATGGACGGTCAGAAAGTTAACAGTTTGTAAAAAAGTGATCTGAATACATAGTATCCATTATCCAATCGACATGATTTTTTACAGGGATAATGTACCCGGCAAACCATAAAATGTGAACAGTTCGGATTATCGAAAAGGGGCCCAATGGGTCGGACTGGACCCTCTAGTCCAAATATGGACTAGAGGAAAGCCACTGCCATAATTTAAATAGTTGATCTCATCTTGAATTTAGCTTAATAATTTAAATTGTTTATAATATAAAATTGTAATTAATTATAAAAAAATAAAATTAATTAGATATCAATATTTATGATCAAATCAGGAAATCATATTGACAAAGGTTATGCTTTGTTTTTTTGAGAACATGAAAAGCAGTATATTAAAATAAAAAAAACAACATACAGATAAAAAGAAATAACAAAACAATAAACTGCAAATAACAAAAATAAATCTGCCACAAAATCAGTTATGATTTAGGAAAAACTACTGATCTTCTCATAGATTTGGTTTGGAAAGTAAGATCTGCATCAAACCAACCAAAGATCTGTTGCATCAACACCCACCGTTGTCGTCAATGTCGTTCTCGTCGTCACTATCTAACTTCACCGCTACGCACTTTGAATATCGCCAAAAATTAGAGTTGAAGAGGAAGAACACTCACAATGGTATGAGGGAAGGCTTGAGAGAAGAGATAACTATTGTTGGTGTCGAAAATATAAAAATTTATGTCGAAATATGGGGAAAAACACTCAAACCCCTATTCCAGACATAAAAAGCTTAGATTTACACTCCAGAAGTCGTGGAAGGTGAAAATATCTGCATAGGGAAAGCGAGATGATGTGTTCCTTCCTTTATTTTGCCAAGAGAAACCAAAACGTCAATGATCACCCTTGACCAGGATTGGTCGAGAGGTCTCTTCGACAATCAAGTTAGAATACAGTTTGGCAATAAAAAGATAATTTATATTTAAAAGAGGGTTCTTGGAGTCTCTCTAGTCTGTCCTCTTTGCTTCACCTTTTATAGTTTTCCTGATTTGAATGCCATCCGTTGGATCAATGTTTGATTTGAGAGTTCTGTTCGTACTTGGCTCTGGTTGGGTAAATGGCCAAGTTGCTTTTGTCTTTGATCGTTGGATTGTCTTCTTATGGACGACTAATATTATGTCAAATGCTAATGGCCAACATGTCAAGTGCTATATTCATAGGATGAAATTGATAGCACGGATTTATTGTCTAATGGACCTGACCTATACTCTTGTATTTGCTATATGATGTTTCTATCATTGGATGAAGTTGAATCCGACGTTCCTCTTTCATTATGCGAATCATTCTTCTAGAAGGATATAAACATGCTTGATTGTTCCCCACGCACACATAGGCACGTGCTAGCTTGCTGTTAGCCATTTTTAATACTCTTTAAAAAGCTCATCTGGGCCTTATCTTTCTTTTGGGCTGATCACCTAATTGATTTAGGCTTGAGCCAATATTTTATCCTTCCACAGAAGTGCAAATCTATACTCCAGTATAAATCTATATTTAAAAAGTGTAAAGGAGGTCGCTGAAATGTCGCCGAAGTATCACTAGAGCATCGTCGAAAATCTCTAGAGAGATGAGCTCTCACTGCTCTCTATTTATCTCCTCAAGCTCATGCTTTGTTTTCTGATGTGATATGGTGACCCAAAAAGGTAGAAAAATGCTCTATCTCCAATTCCTCCCACACCCACACCCACACCCACGCCCACGCCCACGCCCACACTCCTCCTCAATGATGTGACAAACAATTGGTTGATTGGTATTGTTTGCTACATTATTGGAGGAGTTTAGGATGAAAAAATTGGAGAATGTCTGGTGGACCAAACAAAAGTCTTATTTGGGAACTTATTTATTTTAGTTGGCTTTTTAGCTATTTTATAAAATGAAAAAGAAGAAATTATATTTGAGATGATTTATAATTTTTTTTTATAATTAAATAAATAGTTGTGAGAGAAAATCAATTGATTTATGTGTAAGATGTTTTATTTTATTAATTATTTTAATATTTTTTTATTGAATATTTCAGCCAAAGTAGTAGGGATATAATAATGGCCCGGCTCGGCTCGATCCATGGGCCGAAAAGTGGGGCATAGGTCCAAGCTCAGGCCCACTCATAATAGGGCCAAGGGCTGGCCCTAGGGATGTTTTGTTTGGTTATGTTTCATGATGGTATTTAAATTTAATTATGTATGACTTACGTTTTTTTTTTTTATTTTTTTTATTTATGAACTTATAACTAAAAACGTATGCAATTATGTAATTTTTTTTATTTAGAAATGAATATATATATATATATATATATGAAAATGAAACTTTCAATATTATAATATTAAATTAATTATATAACATTTATTGAATGAATAATTTTTATTTCAAAATGAAATAAAATATTATAAAAATTTATATCATTAAATAAAATAAGTGTAGATTATTGATGATGATAGGGCAATTGCATCACTATAGGTCAAGTACATCCCAATGAAGCTAGCACCTACTAGCCTACTAATCATTTGCATTATACTCCACCTCAATAATCTAATACTAAAAAATAAAAAAAATAAAAAATTGAGATGAAATAGTAAAAAATAAATTGTTGATCAATCATCGGAGGAGACAGACATTTTAGTTGCGTTGCCCGAGGATATGTCATCCAAATCATTTTGAATTCGCTCATTTTCACTACAATTTTTGTCTTTTCGTAAGCGCATACATATGATCTTTGGATATCATCAGTGCTTCAATCATTTGGGGTGAAAGCTTGCTGCGGTAATCGCACAACACCCGTTCACCTGCACTAAAAACTGTTTCCAAAGCAACGGCAGAAATATGAACGGTTAGTATGTCACAGGTCCTCTGTGAAACCGCAGGCCACATATGCTTGTATGTTGAGATATTCTTCTACCTTTTATTGCTGAAAAAACACTTAATCTCCCGCTTCGAGATGAGACTGCTAGTGTAGTGTATGTAGGTATATTTACAGATGCAGCTGCCCCGCATTCTTCAAATAATCTATTGCATATTTTCATAATAGGGGCAAACTGTGTTTGATTAGCGAAAATAC